TCTTTGTTTGGTGCATTTTATGGTGATATAAACTGGTTGTGAAGACACAGGTCTTGTACCATTTGAAAGTGTCAGGTTACATGTAGTAATTATTTTGAGAATTATAATAAGTTTACTCAAACACTGGGTAAAAGTATGTTGTTTTGCAGTTTTTGGAATGGATAAGGTCTTATTTTCTACCATGTTCAGGCCTCTCATACAAACTAAATTAGTAGTATATATGAATGCTTTATCCCATAAATTCATATACATAAACTAATTTTCACTGTTAATAGGTAGTTGTAATATAGCATTTTCATCTAGGAAAATAGAAGTAAAAAACTTTGAAATGGATTGTTAAAGTCATACTCTAAGGAGGAATAAGCAAAATTTGTTTACTGAAATAGGCACTAGGGCCTTCACTGTAATATGTACAAGTTTAAAACATATATTCTGTTGACCTGAAGAACCTTAAAATAGTGACTATTTTTATACATTTATTTTCTTTGAAAGACTTATTATCAATTATATAAATTCAATTATTCAATTTTTCTTCTTTTGAGTTAGTACTAAGACAATTATGTTGTTTAATAAGATATAAATTATATATATATTTTTTGCAAGCTTTTCTTTATTACTATAATATCTAATGACATAAACTTGTATTGCTTAAATTTAAATATTTATTTGCAGATAGAAGAATTGAATAAGAAAATATTATGCTTATTATTAAAATAATAAACTGTTCTCCTGGTCAACAACAGAAAATTGAATATATGTATTTATCCATTTATTAGTTAATAAGCTATTTTAAACAAAAAATTAAAACCCATTAGTAACACTTAATGTTTTATTATCAGATAAGATCTGTTTCTATTGACTTGTTTGTATGCTTAAAAAAATATACATCAGATATGTTTTTAAAAGTAATATTGTTTTTATGGCTAGTAGCCTATATGATCACCTAACTCTAATTATTAATTAGTTTTTAATTTTTTGTTTTAAACTAATTACTAACTAGTTTTTATTCTACATTTCAACTGCTAATCTTTTGCTGTTTTCAGGGAATTCCTGAAATAAGCTCTTTCTGTGGTTGTATTGGCCGAGATTCGATCCTGGGTCTTTTTGATAGAGAGCCTTTCTACTTCCACCTAACTGATAATACACTGAGCCAAGTAAGCATAGAAGTCAACAAGACCTGGATACTCATTTTGAAAGCATTCAAACAAGCATTCATATGAATAGATGGCTCACCAGCCTCTACAAAGAGGATTCAGGATCAAATCCCAGCCACTACTAGTACAAAAATAGTCTTTCTGAGGACTTCCCTGAAGATTGCAGCAGATTACCAGTTGAAATGTAGAACAAAAACTAGTTAATTATTAATATCTACTAACTGTTAAAAAAAGTAATTAATTAATAATTAGACTTGGGTGATTGTATAGGCTATTGAACAAGACAATGATTAATATCAGATCAAAACAAACTTACTGTGAGTACTTAAAAGCAATATATATGTATTACAAGGAATTATTATTTGAAATATAATGAGCTGATGAAGAAATTATAGTATTCTATGGTCATTATTGTTAAAATGTATTGTACATAAATTAATGTGTCCAGTTGTGAAACATGCATGTATTATAAATAGTTAAATATTATAAGAATATAGCATATCAATTCTACACTCTGCATAAAAACTGTACTTTCAGACAGCTCATAACTGCTTATTATTTGCTTAAAACTTGTGCATTTTTTAAATCCATTATTATACCCTAATAATATACTACTTTTTCTTTTAGTTTGTTCAAACAGTTGCTTTCTCTTTGCATTTTTGGTCTACATATGAAAACCAGTTGATTTTTACATTTTTATGTTAAAGTAATATATTGATTATTTTTCTTAATTTTTTTGCTTATGTATAAAACTGGAAATTAAAGAATTAAGCTATATGTCTGTGTGTTAAAAGTTCTGTTGTCTTGCAGATAAATTGTGGGAATGCATTGGACCTGTTCAAAATATTTAAATATTCATTGCTATGTATTTATGCACCATGTTTTTAATGTCTTTGTTTTGATGTTTCATTAATAACTTTGTCTTAGTATCATAAGATGGTTGTTTACATTGAATTTGATTTCCAGTTTGTATCACTTGAGTAAGTAGATAAAAAAGAATACTTGTGTGAATTCAATTTTATTTTATCAGTCATCCAAGTCAGCATCAAAACGAGCCAGTAGTGCACCCCCTACCAGAAGGAGTGTGTTTACAGCTCCTAAGCCTCCCACTACTTCAGCAAGTAAGTACAGCATGATTAGTTTCTCACACAGTAAGACATTTAGATACACCTAGCACATATCTCCAATAAGGAAGTTTGATATAATGAATGACCACTAGTTTCTGGGGGACATTTTTTAAATGGTTTATTTTATTAACTTGCATTTCTATAATTATTATGGAACTTGTTTTGCAACTTGGAAATGGCTACTTATCCTGAATGTACAAAAATTGAATACTGTTCGACCTTACTATACTCCTTTAAACCTTCAACTATTAACTAGTGAAGGAGTTAAGGACAAAAATCATTTTGATCTTGAATTTAGCATTTTTGTTTTTCCCATTACTGTTTGTTATCTTGTTCTAGCACAAAGCTTAGTAGTGGTGCTTATCTGTGTCTTTAATGTTCAACATTCAGAAATTTCTGAATAATTTATAACCATATTTGGCATATTTCCAGATGACACTCGAGGAAGATGTAAAATAAATTTTATATTTGTTGAATTTGTGTGGTATGATGTAATTTTAAAATACCTATGATAAATTTCTCTGGCTTCAGTAGCCACTTGTGGTAAAAGAACCCAATTTAGTATACATATGTTAGGTGAATAAGTCCATTGGAAAATGTCTTGAAGGTCAGTTTAGAGTGAGGCAGGAGTGTCAATTAAACTTTCTAAATACTATGCTTTCTGTAAAATTTTGTTAGGTATAAATGATTTGTCATATTTTTAGAAGCTTCCATAAAAAATGGTTGCATTCTGAAATGTTTTCAGGCCTTCCAAATTATATTCAGTGTATTGGCAAAAGAAATCTACAGAGTAGGGGAATGTCTTTTACTTTTTTTAAAGTAAAACTAGTATTATTGATTTTAACTTGTCGTGATATGAATAGCTGCTATCATTTCATTATCTGAACATGTCGTTATTAAACCTTTTTTTTTTTCTATTGTGGAGAGAAATAAACATGTAACCAGTTATCTTTAGTTATAGTTATTGGCTAGAAATTAAAATACTACTCGAAATATGGTGTAATATATAATGCATTCATTGAACACAATAATATTTTTAAAAATATTAGCTCAAATCAACATTTTATTAAATTTATATAATTCTTATCTGTGGTTATAATAAATTTGTAAAATTAAATTGTTTTATTTCTAAAAATACCTTACATTTGTATATATATTAGTATGTAAAATATAGATTGTATTGTTATGTATCTGCTTGTTTGATAATTTCCTTAATTTCGGGTATAAATTCTTTCTGATGAACTTCAGTGATAAAAGTCCTTTCTTAATTAAAACTATTATATTCTTTCTCAATACAACTTTGTAATACACAGAATTTTCACAGTCACTTTAAACTTTACAACCTTTATAACACACACACACACTATAAATCATAGTGGTTCACACACTTTACCTACGATGCCTACTGTTCGCTTGACTCAGTAATCTATATCTTCAATCTATCTGCATATCTCTTCGACCTATCTGCTGATCCCACTGATTTTACTCACCAGACTTATATGTTAAAAAAGAGGGTGTCTCAATTGCACTCGGGCCTTCATGATCCTTCTAGAAACTCCAGCGAGCATGCTCTCAGCATCGTGTGACTTCTGCTGTCGTAACACTGCCCCTTCCTTAGTATTGTTCATTCCGAACAATAGCCACTTACATTAATGAATAGATAATTAACAATAACTTGATTAAATGTACAGAATTTACAAACACAAAATTAACATTCAACAAAGTCTCTTAATTTTACAGGACGTATCTTCTTTCGTACTGGTCTCCATCTCATTGGCTTCTGCTTCATGTGGGGTTCATCTGCTCCATCAGGAAATGTCCCATTATCAGTAACAGTCACATCAGTGGTAGTAACTTCATTAATTGCTTCACTATTTCCCTTTTCAAAACCGGGTAGAGTTTCTTCTTTGACAGAGGCTTTTTTCAGGTGACATGTCTTCAGCAGTGTATTTGTTCCATTGTTCACTTCGTTCCAACTGAAATGTCCCGGACCTTGATAATGCCAAAGCCTTTTGGCATGCACCACCTTTGGCTTACCTCGTCGACCACATTTTATTTGGAAAGTCACATCTGAGAGACAATCCACTATGTCATATGGGCCTTCCCATGGAGAAGACAACTTAGGAGACTTTCCTTTGGTCTTCCTGGGATTATACAACCACACTTTGTCTCCTGGTACAAAGCTGACTTCAGTAGATCTCTTATCC